AAAATAAAACAATTTTTTAAAATTATTTTTAGATTGACATAAAAATGATGAATAGATAAAAATGTCAAGTGGCAGTCCTAGCTAACTCCAGACAGAACCTTGAATTCAGCGTCGTGCGTGTAGTGGCTTCGAGGGGGTTAAATATTCCGAACCCTCTTTGGGCCTCGCAAAGCAGGAAAGATATTGTTCATCTGGTGTGACATGTTTGAAAGATTATAAAATGGGAAAGATTTGAATACCTCCACGATCAAAAGGTACATGCACTCTTAAAAATTCTTTGAAAATTTATTGGCAATTATCGGAAAAATTTTCACAATGTGACTTTGAATTGGATTAAGTCCAGTCTGGTCAACAAACGCGACCCTGCGACTAGGTCACCTGCGCGAGGATTCGCCGCCGTGTTATTTAGACTTTAGCATTGCCGAATTCACTCTACAGTCTACACTCTCCGGGAGCGTTTAGCGAGTTTACGGCAACGTCCCGTCATGGACAATTTCATTTAACATGGGGAAAAAATAATTCATCTGTCCGAAATAATTTGTTTTCTTTAGGAATTTTGGGAAATATGTTGTTCTAAAAAATACTATAATTTGTTAGACACTTCAATTGACAAAGTCATTTTTTTTTATTTTTCCGGTTAGCCAGCCAATTGTAATTAAAGAAAGATGACGCGCGGCGGGGTTTCCCACATAGGGTGACCAATCTAGGGTTAATTAGGACCTGAGTTAGTCCGGTTCAGATCTGCCATTTCTAAGTTGATTTTCAATGAGTTAGGTGGGCCACTTGAGGCCCTAGGCGGTACTTTTCCAGACATATCTCAGTCATGATGGGGTACCATTGGAAGCGGCTTGGCTGAAAATGAGCGCAAGTCATTCTAATAACAAATGTCTTACTCGTATCTTACATCGGATTTTTTCTTCCATGAAATAAGCCTAGAACAGGGCTTCTAGTAACTAGAGTTGTGTTTACCCAAACACGTTGGCCAGATTGCCCTTTAATTTTTTTAAAATAGTTATTGTGATTTCTTGACAGAAGCCCGAGTGGAAATTCTGGTCAGGTCCAAGTCAGGAGTGGATCAGGTCAGGCCTGGCAATTGATCAGAAAATGATCTGATGACTGGATCAAGTGTGATCCATCAATCATGACCGCGTTGCATCAATCATGTAACGCGGTTTTTAATCAAGACTTGATCAGGCCTAACAGTTCCGCATTTGATCAAGCTGACGTATTCCAAACCTGATGACCTGTCTGCCGGAATCAATAATAATTATTAGTGATAACTAATTCAAAACAAAAGATAATTCAATTTTTCCACGATAGATGGTCTCTCCCAATGCATCCGTACCGTAATTACCGTTGAAAAAACCTTCGTATTTTTTCCGATGGTGGGGATCGAACCGGGGAACCTACGATTACTAATCCTAAACCCTAACCACTAGACTATCGCGTCATTTTTATTACGGGGACTCCGTTTTGCCTATATGATCTGTATCTGGGTATTTGTTGACTTTGAGATTATTTATGATCTCGCCGATTTGCGCGTATATTCAGGGAGAAAATTTGTTCAGTTAGAATTTTATCCATTTCATTAATGGATAATAATCCTGATAATCGTAACATTAATGAACAAATGGGAGCTTGATAAGTTTTTTTCTAGTCAAGATAATTTGCTTGTGAGTGAGCCACCCCTCCCTCTCTCCGCACAATTAATTAATTAACAAAATAAATTGAAAATTAATAGAAAAATTGATTAAAAATTAATTAAAAATTTTAATTCATTAAAAATTTGATCCTCGAAAAAGGTTTGTTCAAAATAAGATCAAGTAGACTGGATCCGAACCTTATCATTTTTTTTCATTAACCCCGTTCAAATGAAAATCAATTGCATCAAATCCAAATCGGATCAAATTGGGTTCAGGCAACCTGACCTCAGACTAAGATCATGTCTACCTGATCAGAACTACATCTGAGACCGTCTGAAGTTTTTGGGATCCGATCGAGTGGATCAGAACTTGGTCAGGTCCTCATCAAGCGTCACCTGATCATGCCTACCTGACCAGAACTTGATCTGAACTCGCCGTTAGTTTTTGGGATCCGATCGACCCGATCAAAACTTAGTCAGAGTCTCATCAGGCGTCACCTGATCATGCCTACCTGACCAGAACTTGATCTGAACTCGCCGGTAGTTTTTGGAATCCAATCCACTAGATCAAAACTTGGTCAAGTTCTCATCAGAAATCACCTGATCAGTCAAATCTTACGAAAACTGGATCAATTTCTGATCATACTTCAAGCGGACCTGAAGCAATTTCCACTCGGGAGGTTACATAAAAATTCCTGTATTACAGCCCATTTTTCTTTGTGGCAAAAAATAAATGAATTATATATTCTGGAAGCCGCGGAATAGATATCAATCCTGAACGTTTATAAACATAAAAACTAGTTTAAAATATGCATCTATTGGTAATATTCAACACGAAATAGTTTATAAAAAAGACAAATGAATTGTCTAAGCAGAATTTATATTGAATCCCCGACAAGAACTTATTGTGACGATTCTTCTATTCTATGAATAATTGATCAATTATTCTAAAAAAATGGACGTCTCAAAATTTATTCTCAAACAAATATCTCAAGAATAAGAACCATAATAATTAATATCAACATGGGATACACCACCAGGACGTCCGTTTCCCTCATGCCATATTGCACGCCTACAGATCCCATTCAGATAAACCTATTAAAAAACCTGAAGCATCGAAACAAACTTTTATGCGACAGAGAATAAAAAAACCGAGCTCATAATAACCAGGTAAAACTCATCTAATATGTACTCTCCTCTCAATCGACAAAGCCAGAGGGAACATAATAGAAAAAAGTTACCAAAATCGACAGATGCAACAGCAGATTGGCGCGCCGCACCCCACTCCCCACGTGACCAGAAAAAATAACTACTAATAAAATAGTGTGTTACATACTTCATGAAATGGTCATGTCGGTATTTAATTTCGTTAAAATTGACACAATTTGTTTCGTCTACGAACGATAAACTTGTCAAATATTCGCCCCGCTGACGCGAAAATATAATAATGCTCATATTTAAGATGGAACACAGCAGTTATTCGGTGCTATAACCGGCTGTGGACGACTGGAAGGGAGAGTTCGGGCTACACCGGGAGTATAAAATAGCAGCGAACTGCAAGCGCACGTTGAAGATAATTTCTTTTATTTCTTTTCCTCGTGCACACGAGAAACTCTGGGATATGGCAAACGACCTTGGACTTATATAACGAGGGAATGAGAGGAAATAAAAGGGATCCAGACTGAAAGAAGATGAAATTAAGGGACAAAAGAGTAAAAATCATCAACCAACGAGATGAAATAAACTGGTACTCACTAATATTACATTATTGACATTTTTTAAACTGATGGTGGGATTTGGATAGGTCAAGTTGTATTTTGAAGATTGAAAAAAATTCTTAAACGTGAAAAACAACAGGGATCAGAACAATCATGAATTTCAAAATAAGTTAAATTTAGCTTATGTTAACTGATAATATTACCCAACAATTTTCAATTACCAAATGAATCATCAATCGAATATTCAAATTCCGAAATAATCTATCAACCAGTAATCGTGTCAGAAGTTTGACCATTACATGTCAAATTGAAAAAACCCATTTATGAAATTTAGAATTATTTACTCAATTAGTTAATACAAAATTTTAATTATGAATTATTTTAATATTTTCAAATTTCAAGTAAGATAATAAAATTATGGTAATAGAAAGGAGCTAATTCTAATAATATTACAAATGTAATGATTGTCGATCGATCGCTGGAAAACAAAATAGAAAATTTGACTCAACCGAATCGCAGTCACTGATAATTGAAAAAAAAATGGCAAAAAATGGTATTAATTGTTAACGTTCAAAGTGCTTTATTAAATCGGCGATAATTTCTGATCTAATAATGCAACTTCAACAAATAAACACTACTTTCACAATCGAAAAATATTTTCGAAGGGGACAGAAAATCATCGCATTTCATCAAGCCGATTTTTAATTATTGCAAATTGAATGAGGGCCAATTTAAAACAATGGGGAAAAATTGTAGATTGTTAAAACTAGTTACACCAGCATGGATTAACTGCATCAATTGATATAACCATTATTAAATGGAATAGAATCAATTTTAATTGATATACATCACTAATAGATTGTTTTTTGGGAAAACCTCGGGCGCGATCTTGGCTCCAAAAATATGTACGATAGGTGTCGCCACGCTGCAGTCACTGATTGCGTGATATATATATATATATATATATATATATATATATATGTATAGTATCTCACTTAGAACTATTTTCACGTGCTTCTCCTCGCTGTCACATTCGTTTGCCCTCATTCCATTTTTTACCACGATTTTTATTCATATTTTTATCTCTATCCCCTGGATAGTATAACGATCTTCTCTAATTTTTATATCGATGAAGAATTTTTTCATTTTTTATACCTTTTTTGTCGAAAACAAACAGAAATCTATCAAACATTCTGTAATTATCCCCGGAATATCATCATAATTGTGAATTATTCATAAAATTTATATTCTTTATTAATTAGAGTAAACATTTTAGTTGATTTTCCTGAAGATAAACAGACTCTGTGACATAGATAGAATTCTGTCCAAATTTCTCCCATTATTTACGCGAAATCTAAGCTATTTTCATTAGTAAAACTATGAAAATTGTTCATTTCTGAGGATAAAATGATTTAATACGAATGATATCTGACGATTTGCTGAAGAAATCGGTCACTGAACTAGTTTCGTTTCGACCCTGACACTGCCATTGCCCTCACGATTTGTGTCAATCCCTCAATATTGTTACCTTCCTATTCCCGATAAATAAACTAGAATAGCTCACCTCTCTCACTAGTTTCCATGCCTCAGTGCCGTGTTCCACAATTTCCGACAGATAAAGTTCAATAGAAACTATTGAAACCACTGATAAATAAAATTCGGTGTTATTCCTGCACCCTTTAATTTTGAGAAGGCCCCCTTCAGCCCAGGACTCTCAAATTCACTTGGGTATAAACATGGCCGGTTGCCTCGGCTTGTCACAATCACCCCGGGGTCGTTGAACTTTTCGGCATATCGCGGATATTATCACTCGGTTCACCTAAATATGTAACCAATTTTTTCCTGATTTTTGCTATTTGTTGGGAACGATTTTTGTTTAACTGTTGGGGAGTATTTATTGACGGTGGTAGAAAGATGTTTTGACTAGCTCCTACCTTCGGTTCGTGACCTAGTCACAAGATGGCGAGGGCTTAAAGACCCGAGCGAGAGGCACCCGAAAAATTTAAATATCCAGATGACTGGGATTTAACAGCCGATGAATCATCTATTGGATTAAAAGTCACGTTTTAATTGATTGTTGATAGTTCTCTTTAAACAAAATGGAGAAAATAGACATAGAGATTAATATTTTTAATATTGAGTGTTTGGGTGACACATTGAAGGGATTGTTTTTTTGAATATATAAGTGATTATTGAGGTTATATTACTGTAAATTGAGAGTGTTTATTGACCACTAAAAAGTAGAATAATAATAAGAATTTAATTAAGACAATTGAAGGGTCCTTGGTACTTATTTCAAGGTTATTCACACTACGTAACTGATTAAATTATCAAGAAGGATGAAGCTGATGGGAAATAACCTCAACATCTGTGAAGTTATTGTATGTTATTGAGTGATTCAACTTTTGTGGTGTTTTTTCATACAGTTTCATCGGTTTGGTATTCATAATAATGGGTTTTTATGGGGTTTCGTCTGTCACTTTCGATTGAAGAGAAAGCAGGGTCAACTATCATGTGTAAGTCCACCTGCATATGTTTATTGTTGTAGATTATTAAGGGTATCCCAGTACTTTGAGAATTTCTCCATTCGAAAAATTAGTTTTCGTGAGAAGACCCGGTCAACCGCGATTCTAACCTCGCTTCGCTCGGTTTGATCGCGGTTTACGGGCCTTCTGACGAAAAATTGCATTCATCACACGGTCCAAAAGTATTTTCTGACGAAAGTGATTATAGCCCTCGCCTTCGGCTCGGCCTACAAAGCCACATTCGTCAGAAAATACTTTGTGGACCTTGTGATGAAAATAACTATTTCGACATTTCAGTAGTGAAGTGGTCAATCGGTTTAAGTCGACTTAGCTCCCAGTTGAGTTTTTGTTGAATAACTCGGAATTTAAGTAAGATAGCGAAATTTTTGTGAGATCTCGTTCGATAGCCTTCACTTTTCTTTACAAAAAAGATTTTTGGAAAAATTTTGCTAACTCCTTTAGAATTTGAGATATTTATCGAGAACTATGGCGCTAGAATGGAATTTACTTAAATCGTTTAATCACTTCACTACTGATTTCTCTACTTTACTCGAACATCGGAACTTTGATTCAAGACCAAAGTTATTATTTTATCATTAAATAACTTTCAATTTCGACTTTGCAAATTTTTACTTTAAACATCCAAAAACTGATATTTTTAAAAATTACAACTTCTCTTCGTGAATATTTGACAAAAATCAAATGTGCACTCTAAAAATCATTATTCTAATTTTTCGTTCATTTTTTTCCTTCACAGATTCATGAATACTTGGATTTATCTCAATGCCTTCAAATCCAATTCCTCTCATCGACATCACTTAACAGTTCCCCTCATTAACACCTAAAACACCTGGTAAACCCCTTCATCCCCCACTTGAACATTTTCCAAAACCCTAAGACGAATAATGTGAGCCCAACAATTGAAAAAATCTCGACATGATCCCCTCACTGGACCCCTACGCCCAGAAGTTCCTCAGGATGATATCCAGGATAAAACTGAAACACATCCTGCTCTTTCTATTCTCGATCTTCGTCCTGGACTTCTTCGGGGCCTTCACCCACGTCTTCGAGCTCTCCTACGACACTCACTTCAAGTATCCCTATGAGGGTGATATCCACGGCTTTATCGACTCCCTGAAACATCGAAAGAAACCGGAGCTGGATCCGATCAACGACTACAACTACAGCTACATCCACGATCTCAAGGACTTCTGCGTAGATACTCAGAATGACTTCCGAAGCTTGCGAATCGTATTCCTAGTAAAATCCTCCGCTGAACATTTCCAGAGACGAGTCGCAATCAGAAACACTTGGGGTTTCAAGAAAAGATTTTTTGATGTGCCCACGAGGACTGTCTTTCTGCTGGGAGTTCACGAGAACGATGAAGACCTCCAGAAGAGGATAGACGAGGAATCAGAGAAGTTCAAAGACATCTTGCAAGCTAACTTCATCGATTCTTATTTCAATAACACGATTAAAACGATGATGGGGTTCAAGTGGGCGTACAACCACTGCAGGAACTCCAAATTTTATATGTTCGTGGATGACGATATTTACGTATCTGTGAAGAATGTCCTGCGGTTCATCAGGAATCCCGCTTATTACCCGGAGTATTTGAAGGACCCGAATAGATTGGTCAAGAGGGAAGCTGTGATGAAGGGAAACAAAGCATGGAATCACTATGATAAGGTGAGAATGCCAAGAGATGATGATGAATTAACAAATATTAAAGATATTCAAGATGAGGAGATGCCAAGAGATACACTGAGAAATGAAAGAGCAACTGCTCGAGAGAAGATTTTGATGAGACGAAGAGAAGGGTGGAAAAGTTATAATAAGACTAAAATGCCTGAAAATAATGATAGATCAGGAGAAATTGAACATGTTGGAGATGATTTAGTTAAGGATGAAGAGGTGCCAAAGGATTCATTGAGGACTGATGGGGAGGAGATCCTGATGAGAGGGAAGAAGGTATGGATTAATCATTACAAGACCAGAAAGCCGGGAGATCATGTATTAGCAGAGATCAATGATGGTAAAGATAATTTAGCTAAGAATGAAGAGATGCCAAAGATTTTATTAAGGAGTGAAAGAGCAACTGCTCAAGAGAAAATATTGATGAGACGAAGGGAGGGATGGAAGAATCACAATAAGACTAGAATGCCTGTTGGAGGTGATGAATCAATAAAAGCTAGAGATGAAAAGATGCCAAAAAAATTAGTGGAGACTGCTGGAGAGGGGAATTTGATGAAACGAGGCAAGCGATGGAATCATCACAAGAAAATGACGGTGTCTGTTGAGCATGATGGGTCAGCAGAATCTGAAGATGTTCAAGACGATTTAGTGAATAGATTCAACAACTCGATGCTCTATAAAAAATTAACGAGAGGACGACGTCAGGTCTTTGACTTCGACCTTCCTGACGATGTGAAACTCTTTGCAGGGTACGTTTTCGTGTCTTCTCCTCACAGACACAAGAGTTCCAAGTGGTATGTCTCTCTGGAAGAGTATCCGTACCACCTCTGGCCACCGTATGTCACGGCCGGGGCGTATGTCCTCTCGAAGGCTGCCATGATCGAGATGTATCTCACGAGTTTGTACACCCAGCATTTCAGGTTTGATGACATATTCCTGGGGCTAGTTGCCAAAAAGGCCGACATTGAGCCGTTCCACTGTGATGAGTTCCATTTTTATAAGAAGGATTATACCAAGTATAATTATAAGTATGTTATTTCTTCTCATGGGTATGGGGATCCTGAGGAGATGGTGGAGATCTGGAATGAACAGAAGGGAATGGGAAATGCTTGAAGAAATATTAATTGATCAATTTAAACGGTATTTAATTAATTGCTTTTGGAAATCCTATTGAGGGGAGTGAAGAGGTGATGGTTGTGCAAACTTTCTTCCATAGAATTAAAAAATACAAATGTGTTGGTTTTAATTTTACTTTGATTGGAGTTATTTTAGATGTTTTAGAGGATTGCAATGATAAAGAGAGTGGAATGTTTAGGCTCTTATTCTTAATATAATTCACGAAATTTTTACGATATTTATTACAAATGCAGTTAATCACCTAATTTATGGAATCATTGTCATACAAAAAATAGATTTTATATTCATGTTATTCCTATATTATTATAAAATAGTTTTGAGGATTAACAAACAAGTTCAGAACAATTTAAAAATCTCTAATCTCATTATTTTAATAAGATTTATTGAACTGTTCATTATTCTACTATTATTGCAGTGCTACAATCCATCTGATACCAGACTTCGTAATAATTAATTCATCTGAAAGGCGTTGTTATACATATTTTATTCTTCGATTATTGACGTATTCATAGAACCAATAATCATTAAGCAGGTAGAAAGAGTGATTTATAAAAATATGTCTAGTGATATTTACAAGTTTGTACTGGATTGAATCCCCAGTCAGTCGAGACAGCCCCCACTGCGGTGATCAATATTTTAATAAATAATTTTCTAAAATTTGAGTTGTTTGTTATTGTTGTCTATACTGCTGCTTTTCTCCACTGGTTTTAATTAATGTTTGATCCAACGTTGTTGCTTCACGTTTTATCATGTTTAGGAGGAGTTGAGAACTCTCAAGGATCTAGAAATATAAGTAAAAATTTTTATTTACGATTTTTTTAGATTTTTGGGAGTGTTAGTGTCATTCAAACTTTAGATTTTCGCGAATATCTAGAATATTTGTTTAAACTTCATCGTAGAGAAAAATTAGGGCTGAAAAAAATGTATAATTTGATATTTTTTCATCCCACTTAGTTTCACAGATGTTATTCTTTTTCTGTTGTATAATTATTCTTGGGATTGTTTTAATACTAGGGCGATTTGTTCTATTTAGAGGACAATCACCTTCATGTAGGCTGATTCTGTATCTGCTATTGTTCGATCATACTCATTTCTTACAGCGATCCTCTTCCCCAGACTGTCGTTGATACGTGTCAGTTTGTATGACATCTTTTCAATTTCTCTCTGTAGATTGTTCTTCTCCTCTTCTTGTGTGTCTATTTCTGTTTGTAATTCAGCACGTCGTAATTTCATGTTCTCCAAACCTATTTAATTTAATGGAAATAAATATTTGAGAGCAGTCAAATAAAGCGTTGAAATTTCCATCAGAGGAAGGTCTTCTAGAATAACCCTCCTTAAATCGTCCATGTTTCCAGACTGAATGACTCGATTTAGCTAAAGTACCTTGGATTTTTAGGACAAAAAGGCTGAAAAAATCCAAAATAAAGGAAGAATCATTCAATTCCACTCCTCCGATTTCGAGTTATTGACGAATAGAGAAGATTTATTCCACCAATTTCACCTCTATACTGAGAGAAAAAAGGATATTTTCTAAAACGAGTCATGTTAGTACAAAAAAATTGCAAGATAAAAATTATCAAAAAAATCTAATTTAGTGCTGACCACTTGCAGACTGTTCTGATGTGAAATAATGATATGAATAATAATGATATGATAGCAATCATGTAAGTTAGGGATAGCATATTTCTTGATAAACTTCCCTTTTTTTTCTTTATCAAATATCCTTTTACAGAAAATATTTTCATCCTGAGAAGACATCGTTCGTGTTGATGCTCCACCTCTTCAGGCAAATATTTCCTTGTCATTGAAAGCAGATCGATTATTCATGTTTGAAACTCTCAAATTCAAATCAAACAATTTCTGTTTTGGTAATTTTTGGCATGCGATTTTTTTGGTCCAAACCAGACTTGTTTGAGAACTTGCTCGGTTCTCTCTCAGTGTAGTATGAAATCCATCATATTTGACTTTATAATTTCGTTTTTTTTTTCTACAAAAAAATTTCAGAAAAGCCTTTTTTATAGCTCAAAAAATACTCTACAACAAATATCTACTCACATTTTCCCGTAAAACCAACCATCTTAAGGGAATTCAATAATAAGCGGAAACTAGAAGATCAAGTTCTGAAATAAATTTCTGAATTCTCATTTGATTTTCCAATTTCGTATTCATCTTATTAACAATGGATTCTATGAAAAAATATGACAAACTCAACTTTAAAGTTCATAAAATTCTTTACAAAAACCATCTTCCTGTATTTTCTCATAAGCCCACTTCTCCTTGAGATAATTCAACTAAATTGTACGATTGACTTGTTCTGAAAAAAAATGAAAGGTTATGTTATAATTAACTCACATTTAACAAGCTCTTGATTATATGTTTGTAGAGCTGCTCCGTGTTGTGACATATTAGACCTCAATTGTAGATCCTAATTAGTCTACAAAATCATTCCCCACATGTTATTGTTGAGAATACACAATTAATTTATCCGTTCCTCCACTCGAATGTTTTGAAAACAAAAAAATCGTTGACAGTTTTCCGGAGCCGATGCTAGTCGCGCCGTAAGATGGCGACTCCTGCGAGACGAGTCCCTGCATTATTGACCCTGTATTATCAATTGTGAAAATATTGGTTCTTTGAGCGCACAGTGAGGTCGCAGTTTTCAACTATTTTGAGGACTCGACATTGAGAGATTTATTTTTAAATAAAATGCACCTTGACAAATCGTCCTCCGAATATCAAATTATTACATAATAATAATCTGATAAAATTTGTCATCGCCAATTTGAATTCTTTGCTATTTTTTCAATGTATTCTATGAAAATGTGAGAATAGAAATTGAATTATTATTATTGAATTATGAGTGATGGTTCATTATTCGAAAGAATATATCAATTTTAAAATTTTCCCTAGACATTGAAAAATTAAAAATTCTGTTCTCGTGTTGATCTCGTTTCTTCTTCCTCTTTTCACTTTCTTCCATCAGAATCAGATAATAGAAAGAAAATACATAGGATTTTCTTCATTAGTTAAAAAAACCGTTTTGAAATTCTCAAGATTAAAAAATCGATTTTTTAAATTTATTTCTGATTTTCTTTCCCTGCATTCTCCGTATTTCCTGTTTCTATGACTGGAATACGATCACAGACATTGAAAATGTTAATCTCCCTTCATTTTTTAAGAAGTAAAAAACCAATTTGAAAAATTTCGAAAAGACAGAAAAATAGATTTTTTCATTTTACTGATACTGATTAATGATGATCGATCTCTTTGCAATTTTCTTCTTCGGTTCCGTTGAAATGAGATCAAAGGGATGTAAAATGTTCATATTCATTGACATTTTCAGATCATTGCACGTATGAAAAAACCGTATAGAAATTTTCTATACGGATTGCGTACAGAATTTCTATAGGATTTTCGTATATGATATTCGGATATTTCTATACGGATATTTTCTATACAAATTATTTCTATTCCATTTCTATAGGTTTGATCCTATACAACCCATTGCCACATGTATAGAAACGTTTTGTATGGAGTTACGGCATTTCTCTACGTTTCTCTCCGGAGCGTTTAGACATCTTTTGTATAAAAACAAAAATTTATGTATAGAAATAATTCGTGCAGAAAATATTTGTATAGAAATATCCGAATATCATATACGGAAATCCTATAGAATTTCTATACTCAATCCGTATAGAAAATTTCTATACGATTTTTTCATACGTGTGGTACTATTTATTTTATAGAAAAAGAAAGAAATGAAAAATTTTAGGTATGATTATCGAAAATTGTTTGTCGATCTGTATTCTCACGTGATTTGTGATGAATTCCTCTTCATTCAATGTTGTAACTGGTGAATTAAGGAACAAAAATACACACAACAACAATATACGGGCGCGAAGCGCCCGTTTCCTAGTGAAAAATGATAGAAATTTTCTCGGATAATGAATGGATTAGTGAATTCTAGGTCAAGTAAATTTAAATATCTTAGAGCATTACTACTAGCATGAGTATTTTCATAACTTTTATTGTATTAGGCCTTTCTAGAGTTTGATGTAACTTAAATAATTGATGTAACACCAATGTCATAATTGTTCTATAGTTTTTTCTCTGTCCATGATGTGAATTAATATTATTTGACAAAGAATTTGATAAGCAAATTGTGCCATATTAAATTTAGCAAAAACACTAGACTATCTTATGATGAAATCACGACTTTTCGATTGATATTAAATCTCCATCAAAACAAAAAATGCCTAGAATACATTCTGTCACTCACGGTTAGAAAATAATAAAAATCTCCTGAACATTTTGATCGTACTTTTTAGGGAGCTTTTTAATGAAAAACAGAAAAAGGAAAATTCCTTAACTTACTTGAATATTCAATGAAAACATGAATATTCAATACCAAGTAAGCAAGAGTTCGAGCCAATCTGACAAAAGGCATGTGAACGTTACTTTTTCCATTGTTAGTCTATTTCTTTTTTTTTATTTCTACCAAGTCCATTGATAGTAAGCTTCCGTTTGGATTCATAGCCCATCTGAAATGCCAGCTTGTAATATGTATAGTAAGAGCCACAATCCCACCGAGTTTCAATTTCCTATCTCAATTTTTTCGAGCATTATCGTGTTCACGTCATTTTTATCTCAAAAATTAAAAATGTCAATTACTGAAATCCGGTACGATAAATATTATCACGAGGAATATTTTTAAGCCAAAAAAGTTAATTGCGATGCAGTAGTTTTTGAGATATTGAGAACAGAAATTTTTTTCGCAATCGCTGTAGGTATCTCAAAAACTACTGAACCGATTGAGCTGAGATTTGGCTCAGATGTGCTCCCAAACAATATCAATTGTGAACCAAAATTTCAGATGTTTAGCTATCGCTTTAGTGCTTTTTCTGTGAAAATTTATAAAAATCCTCGAATTTTGCACACACATACGGATGTGCGGTCGTGCAGGCATAGGGGAGGGTGGGGTAAAATGGACACTTTAGACTTTTTTTAAATTGTTCATAACTCAAAAACAAATTTATCAATTGAGCTCAGTTTAGGCTCGTCAGAAAGGGAAAGAATTGTTATTTGCATTGAAAAAAAAAATTATTCAATTTCATCAACATTTCAACCCTCATTAACATTTAAAAAAAAGCCAAGTGTCCGTTTTACCCCAACCCCCCCCCCTACATTATCGAAAAACATCATATCTCGACGCTTCATGATATTTTAAATCATTTTCAAGCAAAATTAGAGAATCGAAAAATGGACCGATTGCACACCTTTCATTTGAAAGCAATACACCAAACTTAATTTAATTAATTGAAGATTTGGTTTTGGTGTGCTGAATATATAATTAATATGAAATATAAATATCATATGTAATATAATATGAAATATACATTTCATATTAATTTTATATTTATTTATATCTTTATATGTTATATTGATTTCATCACGTTCTCGTCGTGAATTCTGGGTATCGCAAAGAGCTGGTAAGGCTGAAATTTTAATGCCTTGGGTTTGTACTCATTAATTTATATAAAAAAAGAATGTTATGAAATGGGAGGTTCCGGTCATTTACCTGATCATCGATATCATTATGTGGGATGTCGCAGTTTTTCGTGGCCCTGATTTTACCCTGAGGTCAGGTTGCCTGAACCCAGTTTGATCGGATTTGAATCCGCTCAATCTGATCTCAATGTTAATAACCCTTCTCCAAGAATCGATTTTTCAATATCAAATGAGGGGGGGGGGGGTATATACCAGTATATAGGAAAATATGAAATTTATACACAACATATCGTGAGTGTACCAAGTTTCCATCCATTCATCAATGTTATTATTATCACGTTTATTATCATTTGATGATGTAAATAAAAATTAACTGAAAAAATATTATTCTTCGGAGCATACGGGAAAATCATAAATAATTCCAAAGTTACGAATACTGATTCATGTAGGCAATGTGAAGTCCTCCCAGTATAGTAACGTGATAGTCTAGTAGTTAGGGCATAGGATTAGTAATCGTACACGGAGAGAAATGTCCAGTAAAAATTGCGGAACTCACAATTCGCTTACCGATTACGGAATCGACTCAGAAAATTTTAGAGACGGTATCGTAATTTTTCACAGGAGATTCAAATAAAAATTACGGAACGCTCCGTGAAAAATTCCGTGACAGTTCCGTAAAATTTCCTACAACCACATTTCGCTCCAGAATTACGGAAAAAAAACGTAATTTTTATTGAATATTTCTCTCCGTGTAGGATCCCCGGTTTGATCCCCGGCGTCGGTAAGAATAATAACGTTTTTTGAGCGGTAATTGCATTAGGAATTCATTCAGAGAAGCGATTGACAGTGAAAAAACTAGGTTATCTTTTGTTTTGAATTAATCATTGTAATTATTATTGATAGCGGCAGACAGGTTGTCCGGTTCATATGCATTTGGCTTGATCAAGTTCAAATCAATTCGCCCTGATCAAATCCACATTGGTCACAGGCATTACATGTTTGATCAAGTCCCGATCCGTCAAGTTGATCAAAACCGGATCCGCGGTCAGGTCTGACCTCATCCGGACTTAATCAGGGCCTAACCGAAATTTCCACTCGGGATATTTATTGATTACCAATTGAATTTAAATTTAATAAAGCAGATCATTGCATTCGGGATCGATCGCAAAATTTCTTTTCATACTCAACAAATATTTTTTCATGGCATTGACACAAATATTGAGGATTGGTCTACCTGCGTGGGAGGTGAGAGAGAATTCGGAGATGAAAACTGTTGATTTAGACGTTGGCCGCATTTCGTCGTCTATATCTCGTGTTGACGGTGAATTTAAAAAAATCTGAAATTAGGTATCATGGACAATGTTTGTTTATTTTTATTTGTAATGGAATTCTTCACGAGTTCATGGAAGAAAGCGAGCCTTAAAGGCCTTCGGACAATGAGGAATATTTTATAATATGATCATTATTGTTATTGTTGAGAGGGATTTTAAGGAGGTCTGTAATGGAAATAGTCATCTATAATTGGTCTAGAGAAAGATGACTCATGATAATTTTTGAATCTCGTCTGGAGGGGATTTTTGCCTCTTATTACTTAATTTCCTTTACCCTTCTGCATCAACTTGTGAAAATAAAAATTCTTCACCATTGATTTTCATCGCGTGTTCTTCGATTATAAAAGATTTAAAGCTCCACTCGACCTTGCCATTTCCTACGTCATTGCGGGATGAAAAACGAAAACAAAAATATAAGGAAGGGAAAGGAAAATTAGTAAGGAAAAACAATGAATTGGTGCATTATTCGCCGTGATATTTATTGAAGGTCATCACCATCAATCTTTGTCAAAATTATAATTTGTTATTGTTTAGCAGATATTGATAAATCATTTTTTTCCGAAGAATGGAATTTTTTGTGGAGAATTAAAATTTTTCCGAAAGACTCAAGTTCTGCGACGAACTCAAATTTTTTCCACAGCTAGGCGACAGCGGATCACAGTGGAACGTTTTTGATGCCCTTCAATTTCCTAAAAATTTCTACAGAATCATCAGTACACAATGTCTCCATCATTCAGAAGCATAAAAAATAGTGGACGTGTGCAACCTTAACACGATTCTATTTCTCTCGATGCATCAGACCGTGGGGGCACAATGACGTAATATTTCCCGCTCCCTACAAAAAAAAACTAATGAGCGAAAGAGATCACCAATGAGGGGGTGGGATTCTCTACAGGCGGGAAAAAATACAGCGTTGGGCATATGTAGAGGAGTTGGACCGCGTACCAAAAGTCTCTCACGTTGATTTTCAAGACAGAACCGTACGAACTTCCACCGCGGCAACGTCAACTGTTTAAGCGGGTCTATTGCTCACTTGGATTAACTACAGGAATATTTCTTTCGAGATTGAGTACTAACTTAACGAAGCGAACATGGTTTACGAAAGCGATTTCTATACGACCCGACGACCCTACACGCGGCCCATTTCTTCTCACTACACCATCACGGTTAGTAATGTTTTGTTGAGAGTGATTTAGTTTTTCATAATCTTAGGTTTTTCGAGGTCTAATGAGATTAATTGGACCGTGTGTACGCAATTGCTACTAATTCCCCATTTTCCCAGTTCATTTTCATTATTAATTATTTATTACACATTACATATATATGTATTTGAAAATGCGAGTCAAAGTTTCGGATTATTTTATTCTGGTAACAGTAATGATCGAGTTTAATACTATTAAGAAATTTTGGTTTCTCAATAAGGAGTGATTTTACGGAGGTATTTCGTTCAATCCTTTTTGTAGGAAATTGAATATTCAACAAGAAATTTTATTTCAAGTTTTTCACTGAACTCATTAGTTATCGATATAATTCGAGTTAAAATAAAATGTGAAAAATTGATTTTCGAAGTGAAACGCCAGTTATTGGCTTGACATCGTCTAATATTTTTTCATTTACCTTAGAAACGAATAGTTTCAGGAGGAAATATTATCAGACCTTTTTCGTAGAAAATTTAATTTTACACGAAAAATCATTTTGGCATTTTGCTCTGAGGTTACTAGTTATCGAGATAATCTAAAACAAATAATAAACTATTAAAAAACTGCTTCTTATACAAAACGAAAAAATTGATTACTTCACTATTCTCTTTCAATGATTTGATTAGATTTTATCAATGAATGCTCAATGATCTCAAAATGTCAGTAACAAACAGCCATGCACGCAATGACAATCAGCTTTCCGCTTGAATTTTTCTAAGACTTCTACATGTATAGCTTGACCGGAGGATCGTAATGGCGTTCTCGCAAATCGAATTATTTACCTGACAAATAAATACAGCGAAACATCGACTCTGCAGTGTTCAATGTTACTCACAAAAAAAACATTACGTTTACGTTCCGTTCATCAACAGATTAAACTATTTCCAGATAAAATTGTAACAGTAATCAAGTAATAAAACTAGTCTGTTGGTGGATGGATTCGGAAATGTTTCGTAAAAGTCTCAACTTCCACACTTTACTCCGACCACTACTACTTTCATTGTGTCACTCCAATAATCTTTGGTTCTTTCTTATTCTGCATTGAAAATAAAACGTGTACTCGGTGTCTCACACGGGTTAATGATTGTTATTTATTTCTCACATGAAATAAAACATTATAGATGCATCGTTTTGTCGAAACCCCCGTCTCTCATAATAATTACCAAAAGGAAATTGTTTTCACATTTAAATTCAATAGTGAAGCGGAGGAAATTAGTTTAGTTTTTTGTGAATATCTTGAAATCTATCCAAGATAACGTAATCCCCATTCAACATTTTTTATAGAGAAAAACAAGAGCTGCAAAGAGACTTTCAGCCGTCAAATGAACTTGATACATTTCATTGTTCAGCTTCACTACTGACTTTATTTTCATTCAAGATTTCGAAATCTATCAGAGCTAGCAAAATAGATTTTTCGTGGCTCTCGTTTTTCTCCATGAAAAATATTTTAGTGAATATTTCAACAAATTCAATAGATTTTGAGATCCAACAAAAATAAACTAGTGGAACCGACTCCCCACCTCTGAACTGATATTTACCTACATTCATGTTTACAAATAATTCCTTTATATTAAGGAATAAAGATATTCTTTGTGTAACGAAATCCCGATGTCATCCCGGGTCCTGTATGACAAGTTTTCTGTGTTTTTCATGTTCATGAAGTGAATATTCTCCTCAAATGGAAAAACCTAGTGAAATTTTTTACAAAAATATGAAATTACGGGGTTTATCATAATCTGTATGCGTAATATTTGGCACGGAATTAGCGTGTAACAATCTGCACGTGCCTTCACACAGGACATCAACGATACTTGGCGCTATGCCTCGAACGTTTACAATTTATTTTTACGTATTAAAAAATCCAACGCCAAGTTAGAGTTGCGAATTCCATATTTTTTCCTTGCACAATCAGTTGGAGAGCTAAAAAATTCGCCATGTGTTCGTGATTAGCGTAAAGAATGTGTGTGTAAAGGGGATGTGTGTGAACTAGAGTTAAAAAATCAAAGTGAGTATTAATAGCAGAACTAGAGGGCAGTGGGGTCACAGTTACGACTATTCCGAGCTACAGGGCCATTTTCCGGGACTGTGAAATGTTTATACTTAGAAAACAAACACGAAAAAAAATGTACTCAAATTTATGTAGCGTACAAGTAAAAAATAGCGAAATGACTTCCGAAAAATTGCGCAAAGAAAACATTTCCTTTGACACTTTCGGTGATCAGAAAACCATTAAAGTTTCACGCGAAGTAAAAGAGAATTTATCGTTATGTCTCAGAAGTTTTCATATGTGGACGACAAATTTTTCGATCGTCAAAATTTGATATTTAGATTTTTTAGTTGGAGCAAAAAGGCTCTTCTTTTTTTGCATATATGTGTATATTGGAAGAATTTCCGTCTCAAACAAAAAATTGTACATAGAACTTGCATTAAATGTACATGAGTCAGAAGTGTAGATTGACAGGTTGAAATGGAATAAATCTCGTCGACAATTTATTCGCAAAACTCATTTTTCCGCGTAATCATTTGAACGTATGGTGAAGGGGAATAGTGGGAGGGCGTCGGTCACGTAGTAGCGTCGGTGTTGCGTTACGCTGCCCTAATTTAGCCTCGCGGCGTCCCGACGCTCGTTTATCCCCCACCGTTTGTGGATGCAAGCGTGTGTTTCATATCTACGTCACGGTAAATTCATGCACGTACATCCCAACATTCTTCATCAGTAAATATATTCGTTAGATTCTAATGATTAACGTCATCAGCGTCAGATTGTAAATCAAAAAAGGGGGAATGGGGAGTTTCGGATTGGAGAGTGTGAATGTCAGTTTTGTTTTCTCGTGAAATGAACAAACAAAGAATGATCAATCATCGATTAGACTTTCCAATCGATAGGTATGACTAATCCGTCAATACTTGATAGAATTCCAACGTCAGTGGTACGTCAACGGTATGAGCAATACCGATGGACAAATATTTTGGCAAAGACCCCGGTAGTTCCGGATATAAAACGAGTATGAGGCATGAGCCTGTGTAACTTATTTATTTTTCTAATCTTAACTGCTCAACAAAATTATCGCTGGCTAATTTTCATTCATCATTTGAGCTAATTAGTTTGGAATAATTCTAATTCTGGATATGGTCCACTTATGAGATGCGACACCTATGTATGTATTTTTCATGAAATACCGCCCCTATATGTTAAAAAATGTATGTACATGTGCTATAGGATTTTTTTTCTGTAAAACATTGATAACAACTTTTGAGAATCGTCGGAGTACTCGTCTTGCAGGGTTTTCAATAGATTATTTCTTATAGACTCCATGTACAGACTTTCCATCGAATTTGATGTAAGTTATTATTTAAGGTCCGGGTGGATTATCTTTCGAACGTGATGTTGGTTGTTTTTTATTTATTTTGATAATCTGAAATGATCTCCAATTGCTATTCAGTTTTACATAGGTAGCCCTGGAGTCTCCACAAATTATGATTGTACAATCGAAAAAACATTGAAGAAAAAACTAATTATTTTCAAAGAGTGTTTTTGAATAATATTGGAAATAAAGCGAATAGGGAGGAAATTGTAAATTAATAATTTGATGCATCTAATTATTAATTATCTGGTCACAGTAGTCAATGGCTATCAGATCGTTGGTTATCATGATAAATTATCCATTCACTATTTCCTCTCTATCGGCCATATTTTTTAATCTCTATTAAAAACGCCCTTTGAAAAAGTTCTGTTTTTTTTCTACTTTTTTTGATTGTATAATCATAATTTTTCGGGACTCCTGTGTAATATAAAATCCAATGGAAATTGTGATATATTTTAGATTCTGAAGATCTAAAATATATCATAAACAATCGAGAGAAAGTTCGAAAGATTATCCACCCGGGCCTTAAATGGCATTTGGCTCCAGGTTCGTCTGTAGAAGCTACAGTTTTATCTGAAAATTTCTGTAGGCCATAAAGAAGTATGAAGTAATTTTCTACAGATTTTTTTTTCTATTCTAGATTTTTAATAAAATATCATATAAAATACATAGAAGTCCTATAAAATGTATGCCTCCACGATTCCATAGATAATAAAATTATTAGGCGTATTGTATGTGGTATAGGGGAAGAAAAAAAGATGAAAATCTATCAAAAACCTGAAAAATTTAGGAGTAATTCTATCAACTAAATCCTATAGGGTGAAGCCCATATCAATCAATTCTATAAGATGCCATAAAATAATTTTGCTTTGTGAAACGGTTTAACATTGAGAGAAGATATATAGGAATTTTAGACTATAGAACACAATCCCGTGAATGTGAATGAAAAAATCTATAGATTGTTTTTCATGCAATGAACAAAAATCTACGAATAATTGTGAAAAGAGCAAGCTCTGGGGTAACAAAAATTTTCCGAATCACCAACATCTGCCCTCTTTCTAAATATCTTATGCGTGCCAGTGGAGGTTGTGGTGTGGAAGTGGAAGGCTATCGGATATTAATATCGCTGCTGAGAACGCCGTCATGATCCAGAGAAGCCCGAAATTCCCGAAACTGCCTAAACTCTTCCAAAATAAAATAACTTTCTAGGAACGTGAAATGTTCCCGTGGGAGAAGGTACCCTTCGTACCCCGGCCATCATTGGTACCGGAGCCGTTCACTGTTTGGGGCAGGAAGAAGCAGAATCCTGAGAAGGAATTCTATCAGTATGTTACGATCACAGATAACGAGGGTATTCGTGGAAGAAGTGCTGCCAAGGATGATCATACAAGGCAATTAATCAGAGGTGGTACTGTGTCCAAAGTTGGATTGGATGCAGCTGCTGAATTGGCAGCTAGAGGTCATGTTTTTGAAAGGGGTGTCTTATCGAGGCAACCTGGAGCCAACAGACACGCCATTACACCTGCCACTGGGCGGACTAAAATTCTCATGGCACTGCAGAAGCCATCTTGGTACAGATTCTAAAAAAATATGTGACAATAT